AAGTCAAATAGTTGCCAAAAAATTAAACTAATGCAATTATTTTTTCAATGAACAGTTAAATATCTACTAATATAATAAAGTAAAATCTGTAAATAACCCCCCCCCCCAAAAAAAAATAAATAAATAAATAACGAGCTTAAAGTGAATGTTTTGAAATAAATCATTTTCAGATTATATATTTGTTCGGAGAAAAAAGTACGAAGAATGAATTATTTGTTGTTGTCTTTTATTTGTGTCGTTTAGAATGTCATGTCAAGTTGCAGGTCAGGAGAAATAGATGTACAATTTTTTATCAGTGTCCTCGTGTCACTTTGGATGACAGCTAAAAAAAATAATCCATGTCTCGAAATTCTGTCACACTCTGAAAAACAAACAACACCAAATTTATTTTATTATGATTGAGTCATTGTTACTGTTTTGAAGGAATCCCTTTTTTAGTGTTGCTAATACTAGTACTGTCTTCCCACAGATTTTTATTAAAATAGAAAATTTGGTGTTATGACTATTTCAAATTTTCTATTTTAATAAAAATTTGTGGGAAGACAGTACCTTCTAAATAAAGTCTAGTTTATCTCCTAAAATAGATATATTCCTGAAATTAATGAAAGTGAACATTTACTCTTAATTAGTGGTACTTAGTTGAAATATGCGCAGTAAATGTTCTGCACAAAAGTTATACATTATCTAGACAATTGAATAACAAATATATTGTTTTTCTCCAGCTTTCTATTGGATTTTAAAGACAACAACTTCTCTTGGGACTAGAGTACCAAAATCACTCGATGACGCTGGTAGAATCATTAGCAACTGCACTCAATAACTCTTTTTTTCGCTTAATGAGGAATAATGGGTCCTTTGATTCTTTCAATGCCACAAGCTCTCTGTTATATGAATATGAATTGGCTTTGGTCTTTTGTCCAGGATGAAGCTAGAGTACTGACTTTGCTGCTAATGAAAAAGTTACATAATTATATTGACCACAGGTGAAACGGTTTGTATTATAAAGACACTTTTAATTCTTATTCTAGACAAAGAGATAAAAGTAGATTTCTATATCAATTTTGCTTATAAGTGTTCTGCTTTAAGGATGTATGCCGATTGGAAAAAGGGAGGGAATCCTGGAGCTTGTTGATACCAGTAAAAATACCAAAGAATGTAACTCAGGAAAATCCCAGCTTTAATTGGCCACTAGTATCATCCTCTCAAACTCCCAAATTAAACAGCTATTAATCCTTAAAATTATTCTATTAATAAGGAGGACAGGATGTACGTTGGTGAATTATTTAATAAATTAACAAAAATACCATTACCCAATGCAAGTCTGGCAAGTGTTTGTCATCAATGCTGAAAAGGGCTACAGGCCTTTTTTTTTTAAGACAACCGTTGCTTTTTTTGTACTTTTTGGTCCCACTTCTGATGTTTTGGAGGTCCATGTTTGCTCTGCTCCTGTTGTATTGTTTTATGGACTTTTGATCTTGAATACAGTTTGTTATTATAATTTTCATATGTTTCATGAAGCCAGATCTAAATACTCAGTAATTCCTTGTTCTAAAATTAATTTTTTTTTTTCGAAGACATAAGGATCAACAACTAAAATATACCACCAGGCCATGACAATCTTTGGTAATCGTTTCTTTGACTTGTGACTTTAATCACTTATTTTCAATTGCAAATGTGTATATGCCTTAATAGACTACTTAGTCATGTACTCCTTGGCAATTGAAAATTAATAATTCTGGGAAATATTTGCCGCCAATCTTCGTGTATTTCTACATGCAAGACCTTCAATGTATTACGTGGGTTCCCAATATCATTACCATAGCAATGAGAATTATTGGAGGTATAATTTTTCAACTGAGACCAAATCAGATCCCTTAATTCCAATTATTTAATGGATAGAAGTCCGAAATTGATAGTCTTTGTACGTTTAGCATAGGGAGGCTTAATTAGATATTTATACAAGTTGCCATCTCGCCTTAATTCATCAAGAACTTATTAAGGCGAAATGGGAATACCAAATTTTAGTGCAGTTCAGGCGAAATGGGAACACACATTCTGGGGTCACTGAATAATTAATGATCCAACGACCCATATACAAACTGATATACTTAGCAATATGTAAATTATAATTAAACGTTTGAATAATAGACCTAACACTTGGCAATAATTCCATTGGTCCATAGACTTTTCATATCGTAAGGGTTCTTTAAGACCATGGTTTGAAATTCTTTTACACAGATATTGAATGATCTAAAAAAAAATATTATTTTAAATGAATACTCAAATGAGTAGTGTATCACCACGGGTATAAAAATTTCAAGAATTTTTTCTCCTGTAGTCGAAATAGGCGAAAATTATTTTCAAAAACTCGTAATGTGAGCTTTTGAGATTGTAAAATTTTCAACTAAGCAAAAATCATGCAATTAAGAATATTTGTAGTATTTAATTGAGATTTCCCCCAGTATTTAAAATTTTAGTTGGCGATTGTTCATAATGATACTACTGGATACTATACATGCATTAAATATCTGTCCGTATCTGATTCACATGCCTGTCATTTGTGGATACCAAATGTAACATATATTATGAAATATTTTTTTTTTTGAAAAACTATCACAGGTGTGATCAGATGCCATGGAAGAGAAAGCATCCCATGTCGATCAATCACAACAGCCGTGAGCCCAATTTCACGGTCGAATAAACAGAGAAATCAGTAGACATATTAAAAAGCTTATGACGTAATAATTTGCACAGAAATAGTTGGTCAACATACAAATGTATGAATATATAAGCCTTCTGATATTACAAGACAGTGTAAACCTTTTGTAATTCTTACTAATTATTGTAAACCCGGTGAATTAACTTTTCAATCGTAAATTCCCTTACTTATGCAGCAATATACCTTCATCATCTGCATAGGTAGTTTACATCTCTCAGTTGATTCGATACACAAGAGCATGCTCTACGTCTAAACAATTGCTAAAACGAAGTAAATTATTGACAAACAAGTCGATGAAACAAGAATATCAGCAGTCTCATGTACAGTAATCATTTCCTAATTCAATATGGTTGATACAATGACCTTCTCAGCAAATACAATTTATCATCGAGTCATATGCTGACTGACGTTTTTCTTACTAACTGTTACTAATTGCTAGGCAATTATTTAAACATGAATGGACGACGGATTTTGTCGTTATTTCCCGATCATGACAAGGAGCAGACGGCGGTGTGACGGGTCGGCAGGGGATGCTTACTCCTCCATTGCACCTGATCCCACCTCTGATGTTATGGAGGTCCGTGTTTGCTCTGCTCCTATCTTGCATTGCTTGAAATCTGTTCGTTATCTCCATATATTTCATTATAAAAATTACACTTAAAGAGTATTTTAGCTAACGGTGTACAACCATAACATTTTTTTGTGTAATTATGATTAACAGAAACATAATGTACCGCAATACGCACATGAAATATTGAGATTGGTGATTATGTGCAACCCACCTTGTTTTTTAAGTAATATATCTGCTGAATTAAATGTTAAATTGGATATTGGCGGAACTGAAAATATGATCTAAATCTTACTGATGACTACTAAACAGAGTAAAAATCTCTTTGACTCTTGACCTTTCATTAAAGATACCGATATTTTCGTATTCCTCTTTTAGAAATTCATACAAGGACATGACGTTTACTCCTTGTAATTATTATGAATTTTTAATAATTCATTAATTAGAGACACTATTAATAAATAGCTATTGAACTTTAGAATGATACGACGTGCAAAATGCATGTGTAGTCATACACCCATACAGATCATCTCCCACGTTTTTTACGAAGACCTAGATTCATTAGATTATATAATTTTTGATGGTTCGCCCATGCAATGTCCTATTTAAATATGTCAATACAGAATTACTGCCAAATGTCCTTACTCCATGATGAGTGTGACTGGTCAACAGGGGAAGCTTACCCCTCCTTAGCTCCTGATCCCTCCTCTGGAATTTCCGGGGGTGTGCGTTTTATATGCATTGTTTATAGATTTTTTTTTTGATTGATCACTATAACAGTTCTTATAATCGTCACATTTTCATTTTGCTATGATTCTGTAATTTTAACAAATGATATTTGTACTGACCGTTGATGGAGAAAAAAGTACAATAATTAAATCGCAGGCAAAAATTTGAGTTTCTTTTATGATTCCTGTAACTTTTATGAATTTTAATTTTGATCCTTTGACTTTGCATTTGACCCACTTTTGAAAAACTTGAACATATTTCACATGTATATTCCTTGTGACAGGATCTTCATTGGGAACCAATAAATTTGACCTCTTGGCCTTGCAGTTTAAACCCTTCCTCCAATTTTGCAAGAATTAACGTAGCTTTAACATTGGTCATAACTTTTGAACGGTTGGTGCTTGGGCTTTTGTAAACCACAAGTACATTCATGGAGACAGTTCCTTTGGGAGGTGGGTTGGGGTATAACAACATTCTTGTCCATGGAGTTTGACTTGCATTTGAAAATAATCTTAAACCTTCGTTACATGTATAAGCTGCCATACATGGACACTAACACATTTTGTTTTATTACATACACTTTTCAAAACTTTTTCATAACTTGTACTAGAGTGAATCTGTTCTTAGTTTATGATCTTGAAGCAAGGAAAAGGGGAAACTCTGTAACAAAAGGAAATGACAATGTTTTACCGCTTCATTGGAAGAACCATGGTTAAGAATGGGAGGAGATATAAATACACTGAAGTACTTGAAATCTTGAAATTGAAACATTTTGTGAATTTTTCGTCCCTTCACAGAGAAATAAATTGTATCTGTAACATCGTTATTAGTTCCATTAGTGTACATTTTGACCAATACTAGGGAGAGGACATTATAAGTTTTATAATAGTTTTGAATCAAATAATCAATGCTAAAACTTTAATGTCTTGGTCTGAACACGAGTTACAGTACTGTGAATGTCAAGTGAGTAAAAATTAAAATAAAAAGCATTTGGTATTCATTTATTCTTTAAATTCAACAATGATTCTTTGGTCTCAAAAGAAGCAGCTGGTTTTATTAAGCCTGAAACAAAACACAAATCAATATATTTATTTCAAAAACAGAAATTTAAAAAACGTATCATTTTCATATAATAATAATACAAGAATTAATTTAATATCATACATAACTAATAACTATCTACTAGTATTTTTACCTTGCAATCTTCTTTGCAAATCAGCCGCTCTTTCCTGGTGCATCTACCATTTTGACATTCTTTCTTGTAGACTTTTCGACATTTTGTCGAACATTTGCCTTTTGGCTTTCGATTGCCTGCGCAGCTTGGTTTACACTTCTTTTTACTTTTAACGATACATTTTCCATGGTAGCAAACTCGTCGATATTTGGTGCGGCATACTGGCGTACAGTCACTGTTGATGTTTGTAACTATTGTTTCTTTGACCAATTTCTCTAACTCTCTTTCAAACTTTTGGCATTCTCTGCAGAACGCAAAGAAATCTCTCATGCATTTCAAAGATTCTTTCGCTTTTCTGCAAAGAGGTTTTGGGTCGTCTGCACATTTCTTACGGCAATAATCCATTTTCTTTCGTGCGTCTTTTCCTTGGCCGTAAACTTGCCCTACAACCACTGCGAAAGCCAGAAGCGATAAAATAACATTTCCACTTCCAGAAAACATGGTACAAATACAAAAGCAAGAACTCTGAAAAAAAACAAGTTCAGAGACAAAAAAGGGTTTATATATGTATTCTTAAATTCAACAGCTGTTGTTCTACCTACCAGTGTCAATTTTCCTCGATAATGTTGTACGTACTAGGGATACGACGGATACCGAATGTAATTCATAACATTTTACGTTAAACTCACGCATTATGGTCACACAACAAGGAAACATGATACCCTCTATTCTTTAGTCATTACCGGTATTGTTTCATTCAAAATGTTGAAAAATTCTTTCCTTTGATTGAATTGAAAAATGAAGAACATCAACCGTTTTAATAATCATCTTGTGAAAATTATAATTTTATCACGGTTTAAATTCGAAGCATTTTAAAAATTTTACTGCTTATGTTTCATATTCTTTCAATTCCCCAAAAAAATATAAGATGATAAAGTGTTTATGATCAAAAGTCCATTTCAACAATACAAATTGTGAGCAGAGCAAAGACTTCAAAAACAGAAGTGGGATAAGGTACAATGGGAGGGAAAATACCCAAAAGATTTCTTTTCAGTTTACGAATAAATTCTTCACGGGAATACAAAAACAGGCCTGATTCCAATAGACTGACGGAAATCCCAGGCAGTCTACAAAGTGCTAATGATTTAGAGTCAAGGAGACGTTGGAAATCTCATTGCCTTGTTGATATAACTACAAAAACCAGAAGTCTCTGTCGAGACTGAAGCTCTACTGGTTTATACTTATAGCAAAGGAAGAGAAAAGTAGTAGTTGGGAATTGAAACTTTCCAACAGCAATAACTAGAATAAAGATCCTTGATTAAGTCTCTTTATGTTCTTAGTGTAGTCTACTTGCATGCCACATTATATTATAATCAGACTAAAACTGTATTTGGGGTAGCATTTTGATAGTATTTTATAGAAATTTCTATCTTTAGCAACCAAGCAATAATGAAAATGATAAATAAAATTGTTTATCTTAGTGCAGTCTACTTCTGTGCAAAATTATATTGAAATCAAAACAAAACTGTAGGAGGAATAGTATTTTGAAAGTATTTCACAGAAAGTTCTATGTTAAGTAACCATGGCAACATCACTCATAAAAATCGAAAATTGATACACCGAATTGTGTTTCTTAGTGTAGTCTACTTGTGTGCCAAGTTATAATGAAATCAGACCAAAACTGTAGGAGGAATAGCATTTTGAAACAATATCACAGAAAATTCTATTTTTAGTAACCATGGCAACACCGTTCACTGAAATCAAAAACCGATACACAGAATTATATATCTCAATGTAGTCTACTTGTGTGCCAAGTTATATTGAAATCAGACCAAAAGGTACATGTAGAGCTAATGACAAGTACCAACAACAAATAAATAACCTTGGAATGCATAACAACATTGCTTTAACGTGCATTCTATGATATAATGAAGAGCGTAAGGCATGCTATAATTTTGCAGTTGAACTTTATAGCAAGTCTACCAAGAAATTGTATTGTACACAAATATTCAAAATAACTGCATGTATACGTTGGGAGTTTCTTCCTGACAAAACCCATAAAACAGTTCTAAGAAACCAACTGAAAGTCTATCAGGATTATTTTACTGTAATAAAATTTGGGAACTATGTTTCGGATATTTTCCAGCTTCTTTGCATATAATTATATGTACAGCTACTTAACGATATTATACCATTGCGACACTCAAGCAAGCATATCTATATGTTTTCATTCACTTTTTTATATAAACTTTTAGGAGTCAATTTTGTCCAAGCTTTTGCCATTGACAACAATGGTTGTTTTCTTCCGCCATCCCTTTGCGGCAATCACAATGGCTACCACGGCTACAGCGACGGAAACCCCTGCAATGGTGTTGGCGATCAAATTTGAACTAGGGGCTGAAAATTTAAACAAAATAACAAACAGATAATTGGCTCTCTATATACATAATTACATTTTGTTACATAATATGCGTTCCATTTGTGTAGTAGTAGTACATGTATTCTATACGAAATATACAGCCCGTTACAAACGAATAGTTACACCCAAGCTAAGGGTTTTCGGTCCGCTTGGCTCTTCATCTCAGCAAGCAAAGGGTTTTCGGTCCGCTTTGCTCTCCAGGGTATTCGATTCAAAGTGGACCGTAAACCCTTGGCTTGCAAAGATGCACTGATTACGGAATTATAGACGTCCATGCAATAGGCAAAACTCTTTAACCTTCGGATCTTGAGGACAACAATCCAGTACATTGCAACTGATAGGACCATTTGCTTGCCAAAACAGACTTCAAGGAAGCGAAAATAAAACGGCGATAACGCGAACGATAATGCGAGGAAACAGGTGGATTGGACGGTAAATTCTCTCCCTGAAACGCTTTTACGTGTTCTCAGGGTCTCGCCTTAATGTGGTGAGCAAAGCTATTACTCATTACATCATATATTAGTTCTTTATAATACATTATCACCCAGTCTGATCAATTTCAAAGACAAGGATTTAGAACTAAAATTTTAAACGTGTTCAAATGATTTTCTCGTTATATACTAGTATTTGGACGTGATCTTGTGACGCCTGTAAAAGTTTACCTTTTCATATATTGACGCTATTACATTGATAGGTATTTAGAACTTACTTCTATCTACAGCAAGCACTAAAGGTCCCATGGACAGCAAGTGGGAGGAGGGAGAGCTGGCGTCACGCTTCGTTCGATGGCTGGTTGAACAATCGGGGTTGCATTGAGAGGAATTGGCCAGACACACAGAAGCCTGGCAGTGGATGTAGACAACGTTAGAGCGACCTGAGGTAAACTCAAATGCCCTCAAACTAAACCGTGCCTCAAGGGCTGATGAAGGAAGAAGATGAACAAAGTTGACTTTCGGGCATCTACAGAGGATAAAAAGGTTTTTGTTATTATAAAATCTGGACCTTTGTTGTTCTTCTTATTGTTCTAGATTACAGACTTTGGATATGGTGTCTTACCCGTTTTCAATTAATTTTATAAACATGCTATCATATGGCGTGGGAGTTTTTGTTGCTATGCATGTGTCAAGGTGTATTCCGAGATTAGCGGAGCCAAAATTTTTCAGTCCAACTTTTATAAAAGAATAAGAGTTCAGTTCTAGTTTCGGAATAGTCGAGTTGTCAAGAACACGATTAAACTGGTTTGTCTCATACTGTCGCATATCTATATCCAGATGTCCAAACCGCTTTTCATAAACGCGCACCTGCTGCTTAACGGGCTGATATAATGATAACGTCATTTCCTTCCTGGGATAGATACACTTTACTGGAATCATGTAAGGGTTGGTTCCAAAGTCCAATAAATGATTTTCTGGTGAGACAGGTTTAGCTTTGATTTCATTTTCAAAAATAACATTGTTTGCCGTGAGACTGACTGTTGTTCCGCATTCTCCATGTTTAACGGTAGATACGTAATGGGTACCGTTGCTGGCAATGTTGCAGTTCGGATCTAACCACGTGACTCTTGATGACACCGGAAGTAGATTCTTAGGAAGGAATATTTCTATATTTTCAGCATTGCATGATATATCAGAGCGTTCCGTTGTCTTCGTGACATTAGCTACAATAGAATACAAAAAATAAGTATAAAATACTTCGAAGAACAAAGTCTTCTTTACACAAATCAATTTACATGTATGTGGCATTTGCTGTAACATCAATTCCAAACTTTAAACGCTATATCTGTTAGTGCAACAAAAGAAGAGCAAGCAGATAGAGGAGGCATGCAAGAGTATCGCGATAGGTTTGGGAGCACGTATCTCCCCGCGGTTTTATCTTCTTCTTGATCTTCTTTCTTCTAAACAAAGGGCAGAGTACATTATGTTCCCCCTAGTCAATAAAATTCCTGGTGAAGAAAATGTCATTTGATTATTTATAATTTAAAAAATTGTGAAAAAATTAGTAGATATATATACATTTTAAAAAGTGTATAAAATTATCCGTAAAATACTTTAAAAGAATAGTAAGATACTACTGATCTTGCTTTTGTCGATCAAAGGACAATGGGCTACTTCACCCTACAATTAATTCAACATTTCGATATTTTAAAATAGACAAGCATAGACAAAAACAAACAACAATTGTCTCACACTTATTATGAACAATTTTCAATTGTCACTGAGTACATGACTAATTATAATTATAAGTATTAGTCACGTACTCACTGGAAATTGAAAAATTGTTAATTAAAAGACATGATAAACAAAAAAAATCATAAATTAATAGTAAAGAGACTGTCTTGAACGAAGAAACAAAGCTAGCTTACCAGAGTATTTTCTTTTAAGTCATTCCATTTTCACATAGTCTTGTACATATTATCCATTAGCTGTTTTCACTATACTCTTACAGCTGTCTAACTTCACCACTGCTATCTACCAAAATTTCTCTCTCAGGTATTGAGACACGCTGTTCCCCTCTCTATGTACAAAAGCCTGATGGTCGATATCAAGTCACGACAACTTGCCCCTCGAACTTCCGTTGACTACCCCAATGCACTAACAAATACTTTTCGGTCAAAATGCGAAGTAAACAGATTTTTTGTGATCCTTGACCCTTTCCTGTCTTTTGAGGACTTGTATTTCCGAAAATCATCACTTGACCTCAAATCCTGTATAATATACTTGGCATATATGTATACAACGACGTTAAATTAAGAATTGTTTGTTTCAAGTGTTTTTAAATAAGACTTTTAAAAGATATTAAAACTGAATAATTCAGGCCTTAAAACTAAAAAAAATATTAAAACTATATATGGTGTTATATAAAGACCTGTATTTGCAAGAAATTTTGTTTTGAAAAATGGCTTACATATTTTATTGTAATTTACTATCTCGAAGTTCTTAATTTTCATCTAAATGTCTTATTCGAAAATGCTGTTTTTTATGTTGGCCTGGTCAAAGGTGTGGAAAGTTGAAAAGTTATAATAAATGATAAATTTTATTTATTTTTTTAATTTGAAATGTGGCGAGGTGGGAAGGTGTATTTTTGAAGGAGGAATCCATTCGTACGTATGTTACATTTAGCGGTAGCCACCCCATATTTTTACAACTCCGCAATTGAATGAACATTTCAAGTTTTTATGGTGGCATTGTTTATCTCCTAATTAACGACTCAATCCGTTAAACACATATTTGGAGTTTCCCAGAACAAAACATACTCTTCACTGCCATTCTTTCTAATAGTATAATTTTGGATGTGTCCACCCCTTATCTGCAACTTCTTTTATATTATTGAATAAAAATTAATGAAACTTTCACATACTGCCATTTTGCATCCCCCCTCCATCGGAAAGATTTTGGGGTCTCTTAGTAAACCATGAACTTTGTCATTCTTTAATGAACATTGATGGACTAGTAGTAATGTCCGCAAGTCTTCTTGTACCTCTAAATTAATCATAATAATTTAATTTCAACAGAATCCTTAATTATTAAATAGTTTCATTATGCACCTACTTTATGGTCAAATCAAAAAGTTATTTGGGTTTCCATTGTCAAAATATGGACTTTGCAATTATACTCGAAATTCGGAAAAGGGGTGGGACATCTATTTTGTTAACGCGACTCCATCTCCTTAAACCCCTACATCAAATGAAATGGAACTTTCACAGAATATCTCATTTGCATTCAGCCAGGAGGAAATACCAGCATCATTTATGAACTCAATTCAAAAAGTGTCTCTTGCGTAATCCCTGCAAAGTTTCCAGATTTGAACATTATATTGCAGTGCCCTTTACCATATATATGCAACTAGTCAAAAGTACAGTATGTATCGTGATATCGGAAACTGATTCAATAAAACAAAAGCAGTATAAACATTTTGTTTCATTTTCATCAGCTGTGTTATTAAAAAGAAATGAACAGGTTATTAAATTTTTGCCAATCACTCGACATCAGTTAATAGTCCTTGAATAGTATACAGCTGATTAAAATGAATTTCCAGACCTAGAACATATAGATAAACAATTAGATTTCAACCAATAGCGGGGAAATGACTTTCTGAGACATTGTGACTTTTCCTGGCATTTTCTGAGAAATAAATTGCGATAAATGTCAAAGAGAATCTAAAATTGCTAATAGGAAAGAAAAAATTAAAGACCCCGAGTTTGATGTGGGTAGATTTAAAGATTATGCTCAAATTAATCCTATTTCAATTGTTTAACACATCCTGTTTTCATTGTTCAACCCCAGACATGAGATGTTTTTCACATTCATCAAATGTACTTTAAATGTATATTAATATTTCTTATAAAATGGACTTTTATAATATTCGATAATTAAAAGACTTATGTGACAAGTCTAAAGAGAGGGTGAGGGAGAGAGAAAGAGAGATAAATGATTATTTAAAATGTTATTTCTTTGAAATTGTGTAATAAATAGAAGCATGAATTACAACTTATATCTCCAATTTTAAAAAAGAACTACATAATTATAAAAGTGTCTTAAACGGTCCCTTAAAATGAATATTTCAAGAACTAAAGTCAAAATCTACCAAATGTGCCCATGTCAATAAAAAAGACCAAACTTTCTCAAACAACTCATATTTATAGATTACAAAACATTTTATCTTTTCACAATATCTTACCTAATTTTCTTTTTACTGCCATTGATCGAAATCAGTATTGTTCCCAGTGTTAGTCAATAGCATGCTAACCTCATTATGTGGATTTAATTAATAATAAGCAGATCATATTATATTAATAAAGGAAAAGAATTCAATTGTTTTATAAATCTCAATTTATCATAGCTTTAAATTTTCCAAGAAATTCTGAAACGTGGAATATTAACCGTTTCCTTTTTCTAATATTTTGTGCTTCTCTAAAAGCAAATATACGAGTGGTTATAAAGTTCGTGGACTGAGGCTATAAAATTAGTACTATGTTGTCTGAGCTTACCAAATTTATAAAGAACATAAAACAACAAAAAATAAAGAAATGTTGAAAATTTTAGCTTCATACGTTCATTATTTCCGAAATTATTATAAAATAAAAAAAAACGACATTATATGATCACCCGGCGCCGTCGCCGCTTAGTTTCATGACGTCCGACAACGTCATTATTTTTCAATGTCCGCTTCTTCAACCTCGTACACTTATTTTGATGAGATTCCCTAGAGCTGAGTAAGGACTTCAACCCGTCTTAATTGTTTTTATGACTTTACAATGTCATGAACAGCAGCTTTCAATGCATATATCATAATATTGCAAATAGATTTATACATTGGGAGAGATCCTCGCTTGATTGTGCCAGCATATTTTGCTTTTTTTTTGGCGTGGAATATAACTATTTAAAACACATGATCAACGTCATTATTTGACGTGATAGATTTTTCAAACCTTGACTACAAATCGACATTCACTTTGCATCCCCTTTCCCTCTGAATCTATTTTGTTATTAAAAACGAGCAATCTGGGTGCATTTTTTTCTCCCTAGCCACTTTAAACATTTCCTAGGTGTATACCAGTTTTTCCAAGGGCTAAACTTTATAGAATATTGGAAAATGACCCCCCCCCTTTTTTGACGTCATTTTCAAGTCAATTTTTGTTTGGATACGCCATGTAAAATTTACAATAACATTTCATAGACCTTCCTGAATGAGGTAAAAATTACATATTTTATGGAACAATAGTGTCAAAATAGTTTATCTTAGTTACATTTAGGTCGAAAAAAACGTCGTTTTCGAGGTTGCGGCGCCTGGACATACCATTGCTTACAAAAACTTTACTTATTTATTTAAAAATAAAATTTATGCTCTGTGATCTATTCTATAAATAGAAAAGATGATGATAACTAAATATTTTAAAATTCATTGATGTATCTAAAGCGGTTTTAATTTTATCGCGCTAGTCCACGAACTTTTTGATAGCCCCTTGTATATCTTTCATAAGCAGCTGTTTACGATTTTACAAAATTAATGCTAATCATCAGCTCAGGTGAAATAAAAATACCAAAAGGTTTAATCTGTACAGACACATATTTAATGCTATTATCTTTTTTTCATTTTATTTTTTACATTTAACTAAATCTGCTAATATTGTGCAATTCAAAGAATAAAATTGTATACACATTGTATATTTTGATTTTGCCCTCCACATACCCAGAATGCTTGGAGAAAGGGAGGGTTGTAAGATCTGCCATTTTGTAACATAAAAAAATTATTGTAAAAGTAAAACATCTTACCATGAACTGACAAATAAAAAAAATACAAAAAGCACACTGTTACCAATGAAGAAAAGAAATTGGTCCTTGACATCTTTAGGGCCAAAGCATACCTGAGTAGCCCATTTTTGCAATAAACAGCACATGACAATGTTTTGTAGAATTTTAAATGTTTTTTACGTGTACATGAATTTCACAAGTAGGACATAATATTTTGATATTTTCAAAAGTACAAAGCACAAGTGAACATACATGTATCTAAACACAAGTGAAGCATAGGTGATTTTATTTATAACAATTTCCTAGGTTTTGCTTTTTGCCCTTATTTTTTCTCACTTTATATATGCAGCATTTACTTTATAACACTCTTTGTTAAAGGAATTAAAAATGGAGAGCTTTGTTATTGTAATTTTTACATTTTCATTATGAAAAATATCATTTTTGTTATTTTCGCAATGAAAAAAAAAATATACAATAACTTTTATTTCACTAGAATAAAAAAAAATTATATATTTCACAATTGAAAATGTAATTAAAAATTTAAAAAATAACATTTTTATATAAATTTTTGACTTGAACAGATTTTCATTTAATCATCATTATCCCTTAAATAGTGATCACAAAGCAGGATGGGACATTCCGTAAATTCTACTTTATAGTCATAGTACAGTGTCACTTCCTGGGGGTCATCTTGAGTGCCCCCCTCGTAACCCAGTTCCTGGAGGGTGTACTCGGGAACCAACATGGCCTCCCTGCTGCGAGAGTCATCCGAGAAAACGGACAACTTTGTGGATAGGATTCCTGTTTCTTTGGTGATTAATTGCAGTATGCTGTAAACTGTTGTGTCGGCTTGGACCATTACTTCCAAGTGCCCAGGATGATTTCGGAGATCTCGATCAAATGTCACTAGTCTTAGTTCCAACCATATATATCTGTAATAGATTTTTGGTCTCAGATTATGCAGATCCTAGCAGACACCATAATTATTAGTCGCAACACATGAATGCACATTTTCTTTTTTTTTTGGTGCTTTAAGCTACAATTTAAATTTTAAAACTGAAAACCTTTTAATAATTTAAGATTAAATTATCAAATACAATGTAAATAACATTTAACTTTACCATACATTTCTTTTTTTTTAACTATAAGCTAAATTTTGTGAAAATGCATATTTTTGTGAAAATGCGCAAAACTACAGAACATATCAGTTTCATGCAGTTCATATTTTGACAAAGTGTTTAATGACATACTTAGGATATTTATTCCTGTAGGGTTTGTCTATTCCCATTTTGCAGCCTGGACATTTCTCGCTCTTTTTTGGCAGCACTATCAGAATTTTCTCTGCCTCTTCTGCCTCTCTGTCAATCTCTTCTAATTCTCTGTCAAGAAACATAACTCCTCTAAATTGCAGGGTTTTATATATATAATTAAAAGGATTCTTAAAACTGAAGGTATTCATGAAAAAGTATATCATTTGTTGGAGCATAGGAGATAACTCACAGGCACATGTTTCAAAAATAAATTATTAGTACATGTACCTACTATGTGTGAAATTTATTTCTGACACAATTGCCTGTGAGATAACTGTATGCTCCCTGTACATAATTCCTTAGCTTGCAAAATATACTTATAAAAGTTATGGTAAAACATGTGCTTGTTATGTATGCTATTAAGTTATGATAGGTCCATAGGTAAAGAAAATTAATTGGTTGTTCATTTTTTTTTTACGGGTGAATAGGTTGAATCTGTGCTACGCATGATTCAGTCACATAGGTATCAGGTAGATTTTTGGGTGTTTTAAGTCATTTGAAGTTCATTGCTACATTAAAACAGACTGACACCGCCACCCACACTTCCAATATTTCATACATGTTTTTATTTGTTTTGATGTTGTTGCTTTATTTGAGTCTTTTTTTGTACTGTAGAATGATATGGATTTAAGAGGTCAAACTAAAGACTGCTTTGAATACTGTATACATGTCATTAAAGTCTGTTGCACTCGCACATGTGAGCTCATCCCATATAAAATTTTGTAAATAATTTGTGTTCGGTTGAACTGGTGACATTAGAACATAAGATGTAATTCCTTACATATATTTATGAATTAACAGTACAGTAGTACTTACTTGGCATATTGCAGTCCTTTGGAAATTTCTGTGTAGTCAATATCACCGCTGTTATCTTTGTCCAGTAACTTTGCAAGAAGATGCACTTGAGTGTCATTTAGAGTTAATCCTGCATCAAACATACCTATTCAAAAACAAGGATTTTTTATTTTACAGAATAGACAAAGAGCATGGTTAATACTCAACATATAATGACATCTTCATAAGGACTTTTTGGAGCAAAGTGAATGCTTTTTATTACAAAATAAATTTTATTCAAATTTGTGAAGGTTAATTTTGATGGAAATCGAGGAAAACTAAAATTGGTTTTTATCATTAGTATTTATCAGGATTAAGAATTTAACATAAAATGAACAATAAAGCAATATATTGAGTGATTTCTTTTAATTACATACCTGATTTAAAGTCATCATATGAAATGAAACCATCTCCTTCTTCATCAAACTCTTTAAACATTTCAACTATCTGATCAGAATGGTTAACTAACCATCTGTCCATTTCTTGAATGAAATCATGATAGAATTCCTTCTGATTCTTCAGCTTGTCACATGCTTTCTCAAGTTTTTCCTACAATGGTACGAAAAATTATTTATATACGTAAGACTTTTAAAGGTGGACAGAGCACATTGAAATGTGAATGAACTGTACCCAATGAGTAATAATGAAGAGTTATATCCCACTGTTTTAGGCATGATAGAAAAGGGGAGAGAATTAGGATAAAAGTCATATAAAAGTGCAAAGTTATCAAAGTATCATAAGTGCAATGGTAGATCTTTTTGCTTGTGTCATTGAACCTAACAATCAACATGAATGCACAAACAAATTCTACTAAATGATGTATTCCCATACTGTGGATGATTATTTTCTAAAATATTTAACGATATTTTTAGTTCAAAATTTTCTGATCACATTTTTCGATAAATCTGGGGCATTATTCCTGTACCAATCGTTATCAGTGAATGAGTGATTGACAGCTAGAATGTATATAATCATGCAAAATGGATTATCATATTAATATAGTCAAGAAATAATTCACTATTCCTGACTTATTTGTTCAAATCTACAAAGTACATACCAAAACTTTCTCTGACTTTGATAATTTTGCCTTCTTTTTTCTTCCTTTCTTTTTCTTGCCCCCCTCTTTTCCGAGGTCGGTTGTACCGTCTGCTATCAGGGTTCCCGGGTCTCCATCATCCCCGACAGCGTCGTGTTTATCATCTTTGCGTTTGGCTGACTTTGGTCTGTAAAATTTTAGGAAGAAAAACTAAAAGGTCAGTAAAATTTCTTAATTGAAAATAACTGAGGAAATTCTGCCGCTCAGTCTGTACCAGTAATAGCTTTGTTTTAATATTATAAACGGAAATAATCGTCAAACTTTGTGTGAATAATAAAGAATAAACAATGTAGATATGTTTACTTTTTCTTTCCTTTCTTTTTCAGTGGCATTTCGTATGTTTACACTTATTCTATAATTCTTCCTGAAAACTAACTTTTCTGTATCTAATGTACACAGAGATGTCAAGGTCGTTCGGTTTATAACATATAGAACCAGAACGGTGGCAGTTACTGTTCCGGAAAACATGGTATGTTGAGCACAATGCTGTTTATTTTATTTATCAAGTGTATGAAAAAAGCACTTCAAGAAAGCATACGAGCTCATCATGATGGTACCATTCAAACAAAAATTTCAGAGGAGGTATTACCCTTCCGAAACACTAACCCCCCTTTTTCCCTAAAGAAACTTGGCGACAACCTTGCACAGAGACAATGAATAGTTTCTTGGTTGAGCACATCTTTGCGCCGTGTTATAAGCTTAATTTTACTTATTCATTTTAATTCATTAATTTATTGTAATTTTTTGTATTTGAATATGAAAAGGAATTCATTTACATGCTGATCTAGATCTAAGCAAGATATACAAGTTTAATCTCAAAAAGTAGTGGGTGGATATATTTTACATTGATTTTATTAATATGTAATCTTTTTAAAGCAGTAATTTAGTTCCTTTGAACAATTAGGTCCTCAAATTATCTATTAGTATAAAATCAAAACCTAATTTAACCGCTGAAAAAAAGTATCGTATACTTCTTAGACATTGAAAAAATCAATTGTACATATTGGTTAATAAAAGTACATTTTAAAAACTGTCGATATCGGAATCTTAAAGTTTTTTTAAATTATCATTATTATAAGACAGATGTTGAAAACATACAAAACATTTAATCCGTCCTGAAATCCGAATTTATGTGCGTTTGAGGGCAACGTGCGTTTCGCCGACCCGAGAATAATAGACCGATTTGCGATAACTACAGTGGTATTGCTGTTTAGTTTGGTGAAATATGAACGATTGATTAAAACACATATCATTTACTTATCTGTATACTAAATCTCCGCCAGACTACATATGTATCCTGTAAAAGTTATGAAAGGGTTAATTGACTCAATGTGGCATGCAGTCATACAAGAATGAGCCGTAGGCACAGGTTAGTGTGTCGGTTCGGCAAAAAGCAGAGCATCATGCATGTCTGAGAACCCAGTCATACATGTATATAATAAATACAGCTTTGATTCATTAAAACATCAAGTCTCTTAAAATTACTCCCAACCTCCAACATATATTTTCAAAAAAATCGTTTTTAATTTCACTGTGCGAGATTAGAGCGTATAGGTACATGCATATACATGTACCTTTCCAACGTAAGCACATAATCAAAGCCAGCATTTACTGTTATATAATATTGATCAATTAATATCGTGGAAGTCTTCCGCATATATTGTTATGTAATATTACATCAAATAAATATATCACGAACGGTTTAAATAACTTTGGTATACTAGAGTATAAGTCCTTTTACCTTGAAAAGTTACAAAAGGTATAGAAAAGGATGACTGAAGCACCTTGAACCTTACAGATAACCCTTGGATGTAAACAGTGACCAACACACGGATAACAGTAAATGGACAGGTAATAATAAAAACCGTCAAAGTTCGGCAATAGTTCACCGTGTTCCCTCCTGTCCTGGAGGAGTCTTGATAATGCAAAAGTGTGCCTGTTCAAAACACCGACAGTTTGGTCAGTTTACGTAGAAAAAAAAAATAATATAGCGATGAAACTTCTGAAATCTGGATTCACCTGTTGTTGGTATATGGTTTGTCCAGTTCTGTCTTTTGCCAACGATATTCTGTTACGATTTGCGGCTTACAAGCAAGTGAACGCTCTAGCCGTACAGCTGAAAACAATGTCGGAGACCAGTGTGGTGATCCCCCTATCCCTTTCTTCTGTTGTCGTGGAAAGTGCGGTCCAGATGATTGGAAACGCGATTGCATATTGCATGTGGATTGTTCTTAAACCGTATGCAAAACTTGTAAGTTTCATTTCTCGAGGAATTTTTAATTTCGTCCAGCGCATCACAGGAGTAGATGCCAGAAAGCTTTCCTGTGGTGACAAACCGTGTTATATGATGGATTATATATTCAAATCTACGGTAACCATAGCTTCCTATATATTGAATGGATTAATGATGCTCATCTTTTTTCTCATCGTTGTAATAATTATATTGTTTTGAAATGATAATTCCTGGTTAAAGTTTAGAATTTATTCAAGTCCAAAAGTACAAAATCAAAATTCACATTTTTACACAAAAATTCCTAAAGTGAGAGTGAATTACAAATAAACTCAGGCACGTCTCATCTTTGACAACTCCTCCCACATTTCATAATTGAACCAATGAAACAAGTTAAAAGACAGTAGAAAAGTTTAGGGAAAGCTCAATGACATTAATTTATAACACAGGAAACAATTTGAGTAAGCATAACAAATTCAAAGAAACACCAGTCTAAGATCTGACCATAAACCTGATAACAATTATGAGCTAATAGCATCGATACCGTGGGATGGAGAGAGAGATGTCAAGTTTGAGAAATTACAAACACGTGCAGCAGTGCTCTTTCTGAAGATCAAATAAAACAATTAATTTTCAATTACAAATTCCCAGTACATCAATTATAATATTTAAACAATACCTAAATCATAAGTACATCTAAGAAACGAACAAATTGTATTTATCAAAAATATGTATTTATACGCATGTATATAACATCCGCCCCCTAAAAAAATTGGCATACAATTTTAAGAATTAAACGATAAAGACAATCATAAAATATGCACACAAAAGAAATGTTATACAAAATGATATTGAAGAAAATATAATACATGTACAAGAAGAAGAATGCATTCTAGTAATGAAATCAGAAGTGAATAAAATGTTTTTGAAGCATGTATTCACCATTCATTGGTACCATCAAACACTCTCACATTTATACAAACATAATATTCAAATCAGAGTCCATCATAAGAACTCATAACTTGCGCTGCAATGCATAGTAAAAAAAAATGTAAACAACAAATTCTCGAATATGGTTGTTCAAAGTATAACCTGTATGGAATAACACATCCTCGGTTAGAATAAATCATACCAGTCAAATAAAGATAAAACAATATTCAATTACGTAATTGCATAAGGTATAACCCTGTCGGAATAAAACATCCTTGGTTAGAAAAAGCAATTAATATATCAAACCAACACAAAATTTTCACGATGTATGTCACAAATACTGCATACTACTACCATATTGAATTGCATAAGGTATAACCCTGTCGGAATAAAACATCCTTGGTTAGAAAAGCAATTACAATATCAAACCAATACAAAATTTTCATATCACACGCTGTATGCCACAAATATCGCATACTAATAATTCCTACCTTCTCAATTTCCACCGTTTCCAACAGTATGTATAAGCTGTAATACTTGTGGAATAAAACATCCGTAATTACATAAACATACATATGAAACACTGTAAATTAATACAGATCAAAAGTATCAAACAAACATATTATGCAAACAAAAAAATAAAATATATCAACAGTATACACAAATGTAACATGCATTTTTTTTTTCAATGATTTTCTGTTTTTTACATTTTTTTTTAAGTGTTCATAATCATTTTAATACATTTTATAAATACGTCATAAGTTAGGTGGCGGTCGCGTTTCGATAGCACGTTTGCCTTAATTTCGCATTGGGCTTCTTTCCACCATAACCGTTCCAATTTGCGCACTCGTTGAATGTGTCCTTCACCCGAACAACTGTGGCACGTACGGACATTTGCGCGGTCTTGATTGTAATTCTGCATCCCTCTAGATCTTGGACGGTCGCGACTCGGAGCCTCCAGTCTGTCCAGCCTGTCAATAATCGACTTAATCATCTGGAAGAGTTGTTCATCTCGACCACGATTAGGCTTCTCCTCGATACGGACTGCAGCTACAGTGTTAGGGGGGCTCGTCCTGTATTCATACGCCTCACCAAGTTTGGCTTGTTGTAAAGCATCCTCCCAATCATCCATGTTCAAATCTGTTGGTGCTGGAGACACATAATTTTCTGGTCTATACATTTTTGTCAGTTTATGTAGTCCGAATAAAAAGAAAAGGTGAATACAATAGATCCAAAGTTTAGTCCAAAATCACTAATGAAATTTTAGATTCTCCACCATGTAATAATTATATTGTTTTGAAATGATAATTCCTGGTTAAAGTTTAGAATTTATTCAAGTCCAAAAGTACAAAATCAAAATTCACATTTTTACACAAAAATTCCTAAAGTGAGAGTGAATTACAAATAAACTCAGGCACGTCTCATCTTTGACAACTCCTCCCACATTTCATAATTGAACCAATGAAACAAGTTAAAAGACAGTAGAAAAGTTTAGGGAAAGCTCAATGACATTAATTTATAACACAGGAAACAATTTGAGTAAGCATAACAAATTCAAAGAAACACCAGTCTAAGATCTGACCATAAACCTGATAACAATTATGAGCTAATAGCATCGATACCGTGGGATGGAGAGAGAGATGTCAAGTTTGAGAAATTACAAACACGTGCAGCAGTGCTCTTTCTGAAGATCAAATAAAACAATTAATTTTCAATTACAAATTCCCAGTACATCAATTATAATATTTAAACAATACCTAAATCATAAGTACATCTAAGAAACGAACAAATTGTATTTATCAAAAATATGTATTTATACGCATGTATATAACATCGTGTTGACGATGATGTTCACGCTTTTACTCACCCCCTTTGTACCTTTGGTGTTAATCGTCTCGATTGTCATCACTATGCTCATCGCCCTGTCTCTCATCGCCGTCATCTCGCAGATGACCAAGACAATATCCAATGCTTTCACCACGATTAAAAAGACTATCGGTGTCATTTTGCTGATTTCAACAGGTGGCGTTTCCATGGTCCTCGCGTGCATCACTTCGTGTGCCGTGGTTCTGTGCTGGATATTCATTATATCTTCCATGCAGATTATTTGTTTTACAGTATCTGCCTTCATGATTGCTTCGCTTTTTATCACAATTCTTATACTGACAATCATCGGAAAGGCCATTGAAACCGATGATAAAGAA